TTTCGAAAAAATACGAATGAAAAATGTCAAAAAAAAAAAAAACGAAGAACAACTGAATAAGATTAAAAGAAGACGAAAATCATCATCTTCATGACTATTTCAAAAAGCGGGGAAAAATAAAAAAAATTAAAGAAATACGAAAATCAATAATTTAAAATGAAGACAATTAATTAAAACTAATAGAAAAAAAGGAAAAAACAAATAATAATCTCATAAATTAGACAAATCCCGAAAAAAATTTTAAGGATGTATAAATGCTTAAATTTAAAAAAAAATTAAGTAAAGAAAGAACCTACGTTGTAGTGAGGAAAATGAGTGGCAGGGGGACGGAGCGACATTGCCTCACTTTCCTAGCTCTTACTCCTAAACGAATGCGTGTCCCATTAAGTCCTTTTAGAGTAACAAAGTAGAGACCTGGAGCTACATTTTGAGCTATATTAAAAGAAAATTGAGACTGACCTTTTAGGCGCGCCGCCATTTTGAAAACTTCAAAACTGACAAACATTGTCTTAAACCGGTCTGATCGAAAAAAGAGTATTCTTACGTAAAAGAGCTTTCAATTTTCTATAAGGAAACATCTACATTTCATTTTCAAACTTGCCTCTCATGCCCACTAATGACAAGCGAAAAGAGCGCTGTGACGAGAAAGCCTAAAAATTGGGTGGCCCACTTGGCATGGAATGCCCCATATATATATTAATGAATAAAAATATGCTTAAAAATAATGGATTTTAACATTTGATGCTAAAATTTAAATTGTCAAACTTTTAAATTCGTAAAAAATCATAAGAAAGGAACTACAGTGGCGTGCAAAATTTTTCGGTTAGTGACATTTTGCACTCTAATTTATAAAAAAAAACCTGATACGATTTTAATTATTATCAAGGTGTTAGTATAAAATTTCATTATCCACATTTTGTACTAACACCTGACAATGATTAAAATTTTATCAGGCTATTTTTTATAAATTAGAGTACAAAACATCACCGGCCGGAAACTTTTGCATATGCCATCGTATTTATTGAAATAAAAAAATGATTTCATATAATTTTTACTCTGTCTCTTCTAATGTTTAAATAATCGATAATGTTTAAATAATCAATAGTCTCGCAATAAGACCTATACAATTATAATATTCTGTAGTAATTTCACAATGTTAATGTAAGAAATTTTCTGTAAAAATCTTTTTCACAATCTAATTTAATGCTATATCTCTTTCCAGATGCCCTACATTAAAGTGTGATCCAGATGAAATTGTTTTATTGGTACCACAAGATGAAAACAAAAAATATCCGGATTGCTGTTCATATCCGCTTTGTGCAAATTCGAACCCGACTAAAATATACTCTTACCCCGGATTGTAGATCCGTACAATAGGTGTTTTAAGCCTTAAGCCGTAAGAAATTAACTAATTACAGTCAAATTCGAGGAGAATAATCGATTATGATTCGTCCATTTCTTATGGCTTAAGGCTTAAAACTCTATTATAGATCCGGGGTTATAATTAAATCTAAAGAAATAACTCTTTCTCAGCAAAAAAGAACTTCCACACGCAGTTGATGTAAAATAAACATTTTCCTTGTAATGAAAAATTTGACAGAATTCACCGAACGGAATATACTTTATGAAATATTGTTATAAATAAATATCGTTTTTCTTGGATTCGAAAGGCTCTACTTATTCACTTGATTATTATTGTTATCTTACTCTTTAAATTTCTTGAAATGAAATCTCACTCTAAAAGAGTGTCAATACTGCCACTATTAAAAAAGAGTGAAAATATTTTTGTAGTTTTGAATAAGAATGATAGAGTTTCACTCTCTTTTTTGAAGTAAGATTTTACTCCAAGTAATTTAGAGAGAAAGATTGGATAAAGAATCATGCTATTTTCCGTACGATAACGCACAACAGAGTTTATCAGATTCATCTATCTTCACTATTCCTGTGCCTTAACATTTCCGCACGAAAGCACGAAAATTATTCCCGTCTTGAACGGTCTTAATTTGATTGTAAAAATGCGCATCTGACATAATGCAGCACGATAAAACGCTGCTTTTATCTGAATTTATTTACCTAATAGATTTTCATTGCCTCTCTCTCTTTTATGATTCTTATTCGCTTACCACTTATTTCTTAGAGTGAAAAAACTATAATATATATAGAGTGAAAAACTATGTAGTTTTCTTTGAAAACGAATAAACGCCGCTTTAGTACAAATTAATCAGAGCACAACTGTGTCGCTCGTATTTTCTCCTTGTCTTCCATTTCCGAAGAGAGTTCAGAGAATAATCTACAAGCAATATCCCTGACAAAATCCACGTCCATAAAGTTTGCAAGTACATTGCAAATGAATAATCTTTTTTTTATTTAAATCACTTTAGGACATATATTATGGAATTATTTAGAATAGACTCAAATATATAGAAATTAATCAATCATATTGTTTATACATTTCTAATTTAATATTTTTTAGGGAAAAATAAATAATTTCGATTGGAATATCCACTCTAAACAGTTCCATAAATAGTATTCTCATCAAATCACTTACAGTTCTTATGTGTTAATCGTCATATTTTAATAATGATTAAATGACAGATCAATTCGTGATGGGAAGACCAACAATCGATGTGAAGCTAACACATTCGGCTGTACTAAAAGAAACTTATATACATTGTAGACTACGGTATTTACGCGTCGTAGTGTAGTACCGCAGAATAGGAGAGGCGAATGACTAATGTATGGGTCATCAATTCAAAGACACCATAAGTACTCAACACGCGTGTGGGAAAGAAAATGACGCGCCGACACGTATTCGCATTTACGGAAAAAGAAATCCAAACAGGTTTTTTCTTTCTTTGTTCTTAAACCTCCATTATTTGCATGGATTTTTAACGTAATTACTAACATAGAATGTTTTAAACGTCCAAACAATATTAAAAATTTCAATACTCTCTTTGATGATTTTTGATTAAATAAAGATAATCCTTTAAATATAAGAATATACAAAAAATGTTTGTAATTATAAAACAATTTACGCAAGATATAATAATATGTGTGTGTGTGTGTGTGTGTGTGTGTGTGTGTGTGTGTGTGTGTGTGTGTGTGTGTGTGTGTGTGTGTGTGTGTGTGTAAATAGTATTCAACGAATAAAGGTATTGTAAGTATGTGCAAAACTGAACTATCGTCGACAACCTATGTGAGTAATAAACAATTAATGCGCTAAGTTCTTTTACCAGGTGGAATGTACCCTTATTATAAACATTGCTTTTTCTTAATTCATCAAAATGCTGTATCTATTTACTTGCCTATTGTTGTTTTTGCCTTAGAACTGGATAAAAAATCACACTATCTCGTATGATAATGTGCAACAGAGTTTATCGGATTCTCTGTTCTTCACTATTCCTAATTCACATTTCCGTCGCACAAAAGCATAAAAAACTATTTTCTTTTCGAGCGATCTTCACTTGCTTATATAAATTATTATTACATTATTATTATTATTATTATAATAAATGTAGTACCTCCGACACGATCCGGTGCGGTATTAAACAAGTAAACGCTACTTTCAGTTAAATTCGTTCACTTAATCGATTTTCATTGCTTTCCGATTCTTATTTGCTTACCATTCATTTCTCGGAGTCAGCAAAAACTACAATCCTTCGAAGAAAGCGAATAAACGTCACTTTGGTATGAATTAATCGGAGCACGACTGTGCCGTTCGCATTTGTTACTTGCCTTCTACTCGTTGAAGTTTAGAGTAGGATTATAGAAGTGAAATAGAAATATTCGCTACAAATATATATATTTAGCATCAATTAAAAAATTCACTCTGAACGAATAGGCATCATATCGAATATATTAAATAATGAATATTGTTTGATATATTTGATATAATTCATTCAGGATAAATATAATTTTTGCACCTCATAATTTTGCATCAATATATTCATAATGGATATTTCTATTCGATATCAACAAGTCTAATTCGAAGAATAGTCTGCAACCAATCCTAAAATCCTCGTGCACGATAATCTGCAAACACTTTACAACTGAATATTCTTTTTTTTCTTTTTAATCACTTCCGATCAAATCACTTATATTTAGAATTCTTATGTGCTGATCGTCATTTCTCTATGACGACAATTAAACGTCTAGAGAGTAAACGAGAGAGTCAACAATTAGAGACAGGCAACACATTCGGCCGTACTGAAGAGAAGCTCGCCTTGGACTAGCTATAGAATTTACGTCGTTGTGCAGTAAGACTTGTATTGGGTAAAGCGAAGGATTAATGTTTGGGTCATCTATTCAGTGGTATCAGAAGTATTTGGCACGCGTGTATTGAAACAAAGCGATGTGCCAGCACGTATTCGCGTTTACGAAATAAAAAATCCGGACTGATCTTTCCCTCTTTTTCTTTTTATCGCGTCAACCGTCTCTCCAGATGATTCCGTGACGCAACTAACTCTAGCGCAAAGAAGTAACGCAGCGACTCTCGTTTGCATTCTGAATGCAATATTAGCTCATCCAGTGAGTGAGTACGCCACGCTGCTTCTCCTTGTTCATGTGCTGACCTCGAAAAATGTTAGTATTGTGTCATCAGATACATTTCCACTCGTGGAATGTAACTTAAAACCTGAGAGTCATTTAATTTAAACAGTTAACATCTACTTTAATGCTTGAGATTAATGACATCTTATACATTCAATATATATATATTTATATATTCAAGTAAATTATATTATAATACATCCTTATATTATAAAAAGTTAAAAAGCTTGGTATAAATAGAATACTGCTTTAAAATACATGATGCGCAATATTGACAAAATTTTCTTACTTATTTAAAATTAAAAAAAGTAGCGTTTTTTGTTTACTGTTCTTTGTATTCAACGTAATCGTAACAACCAGGATATGTATTTATATTCTATTATAAAACGTTCTAGAGAGAGAGAGAAAATCTAAAAAAATAAAATTAACAAAAGAGAATTATTAAATACGACTTACGATAAACCGGATCCAACTGTGATGTCGATACTGGGCGGCTGCACGGATATTCCACTGCTGATGGTGCTCCCAACAATCGCGGATACATTCTCCGTAGGATTTTGCGAACTGTGATTCGTAGTCATGGATGCTGACTCGACGTTGCTTCTCGTCGCGCAATCAGAATTTCCTGGCGCGTCGCTATCGGATGATTCGGACTCTTGTCGCCGTTGCATTATCCGGCTCGATAGTTTGCTCTCAATGTCCGACGCCAAAACATTGCCGAGTATCCACTCACCTCCAACAGGTTTCTGCAATTTTTATTTTAACATTACTCTTCATTCGCTATGAAGCATATTCTCAGAGAAATGAATTTTATTCTTAATAAACTGCTACAATTATAATATTATCAATTATAATAAAAAAATAAAATAATATTAAATAAAATAACGTAGAACCTCTTTATAGTCACACGCTCGGGACAAATGTGACAATAAAAAGATTATCTTAGCTCCGTCCCAAAGTAGGACCGTAGCCTTCTTAAGCACATATGTAGCACTCACTGAGAAAAATTTTGATAACTATTTATTTTGTTGAGATGTGACTAACACAAGATTTCTTACTTTAGTAAACTTTTTTGACATACAACTTGACGAGATACCATAATTTTCTTGCCACATCTTTAATTTTTGATCTGGAAGCAACCTCCTCAATTATCTGTTGCTTGTTGCTTGTTATTATACACTTCCTCTTTTCATTCATGTTTATACTTAAAAATAATTAAGTAACTGACAATTATGTAAAATAATTAATATATATAAGTGGTAGACTATCCCCAAAGATTACAACAATTGAGCTAAAAATACAATCCTGAGTGCGTTTAAAGGGATGCTGGAGCCGTCTGTATTACCGATAAAACTAGCGTTTTTGACGTTTCCGTTCCTATCTAATTTCTTCGTAACAGTTTCGCAGAATAAAAATTGCTTCTCCACGATTTAATTATGAAGAAATTAGACAGAAAAGAAAACGTCAAAAACGCAAGTTTTATCGATAATACAGGCGGGTCCAGCATCATCTTAAGTAGATAACTCGCAAGTAGACAATTGCGCAAGCAATTGTCATGGAAACGCGTTACGTGGGTTACAAACGTGTGCTTATATGGAGGTCAACTATGGACTATTGAGAGGTCGTGACTATAAAGAAATTTTACTATTTCGTCTATCTTCATATAATTTCAACTTCAGTTTTCTTCCTATATATATATTGTAACAAAGTAATGTCAAGAATTATACTTGAATGAAATTAAATTAACAGTAGCATATACATTTACAAGAACAGATATTCTGATTGAATATTCGCTAAAAATAAAAAATAAAGCATAAAAAATTATCCATCAACTTACCTTTTTACTCGATTCCTGAGTATTTGTAGACAATGGGGTATTCGTAGGTTTGTGAGATTGCTTTTTAGAGTTGCCGAATAGATCTGCGTCATCGTTCTCATCATCGCTGAATAAGCTCGTGGAGTTGATGTTAGATTCCGGCGTGCTCGTGGCGATTTTATTGGTAGCTATAACGTCCATGAATTTCTTCGGCACATCCTCCATGTTTGCGGGATAAGCGTTATCGCTCGCGACCGATTCCTTCGTGCGTTTTTTGATGGCGTTCTTCGATGAGAAGATGTCATCCGAATCTTCTTCCGAATCGGCATCGGCAAATAGATCGTCTATTGCTGACTTTGGTTTTGTCGCTAAAAAAATATGATTGAATTAAAAAAGATAAATCTATCACAAAATGACAACGTGAATATAGGTGTAAGAATACTTACAAACTATACTAATCGGCGGTGGCACATCGATACTGGCTGGGATAATATTACTATTTTTGTAAGATTTGATTGGCTTTTCTTTCCACAGATTGGCAGATACTTGATCGTCGAAGAGATCTTTTTTACTGCTAAACAGATTGTCAGAACCGTTGAACACATCTTCATCCTTCTCAGACGCAAAGAGATCATCTGAGAAAAGTTAACAGTTAATTAACTCCGAGAATATTTTATTTACAATTTATATTTTTGCGATAAAGGTATTAACTATTGTACATACCTTTAAATCGATTAATCGATGATTCATTAGTTTCATCTACTGCGACAGGCTTTTGCGCTTGGCGAACGGTGCCTAATCGCTTGGCTAATTCTTCTGCAAAATTCGGTGCCGCTTCATTTGACTGCAAGAGAGAAAAAAGAGAATTGTTAATTTTTAAAATATAAAAATCATTAATCTCGACACCAAGATCCCTATTTTGTAATTCTTAACAATATCAGTGTTTTATATACAGTAAAAAAACTATACAATAACAGTATCGATTGTGTTATTAAAAATTACAGAATAGGAGTCCGAATGTCAAATAATGAAAGAGAAATACCTTAGATACATTATTAGGTGTGACAGACTCTGAAGCAGAATTTATGTTATTCTGAGATGCAATATCCGTTTTATTATTCTCGTAAGATATGTTATTGCTGTGATCATTATAATTATCCGAATCGCTGGAGGACGACAACCTCGCTATATTTATCTCCGGATTGTGTCGACTGTTAAACACTTTATGCACACCAGCATCTTCCTTCTCACTTTCCGATTCCTCCCTCTCTTCGTCGGCTTGTTCGGATTCGCTACTGCTACTCTCTAAACCTATCTTATTCGACGCTATCCATTTATCTGAACCGATAATATACGGCAAGGGCCGATCTTGATATGGATCATTGGGTCCCACAATGACACTGTAAACCAATTGAATTTTAGCACATAGTATGAACAAAGATAGGAATAGAGACACTAACCTGAATACTACACCTCCTTCGTCTTCTTCTTCGCTATCGCTGCAAGCCACATCCATTACTTTGTACTTTTCATCCATTATGCTTAAACCTTGCTTAACGCTCTCGCTTATACTGGCCAAAAGATTCTCTGGCGTCGACTCCTGAGTCTTCGCATTCTAATAAAAGAATACAAAAATTCATTTCACTTAAATATGAAAAGCACTGTTTTCCTAAAAATATTTATTAAAAATAAAAATATTATATATCAAAACATAAATATTAATTCTTGCTTACTTCCTGCTTCTCATCTACATTCTCCTTAATTTCTATATCATCCTCCTGCACGCGACTCTCAATAAATTGAGTATTGGCCAAAGCCAGAGATGTGTTAGTAACATTATCCACTAGTATCTCCGTTTCTTTTAATTGTGTCGTCAACGTATCCAGAGCAGCTTGAGTCTTGGTGGCCTTGGATACCAGATTCTAAAATTTTATACAAAATTAATGTAATGCACTGCTGAATATAAACGTCAGCAAGCCAAAGTAATAAATTATACTTCAGAAAATTGCTGAAGATGTTTAAGAAGTCCGACATCACCAGCTAGACTCCACTCCCTTCTCTTGTTCCTCATCTCTTCTGTCGTCCATGGATGATCCCATGCTTTATCTATATCATCTGACACATCCTGCCATATAAAATAAAATAATTAATTTAAAAGTAATATTGCTTACTGCTTTTGCAATTAAAAGTATTATAATATACATGTTTTTATACATATATTTATATCATACATATTATGTCATATAAGATTAACTATAAGATTCTTCTGTAATTTCAAATTTGTATAATTTTCAGTTTATGATAAAATAAATTTACATATATCAAATATAAATATTTACATATATTAATTATAAATTTATATATGTATATATATAATATATACAAATACAATATAGTTGATGAATACATATTAAAAAAGCTGTTTTATATAAAGTGTCTAAATGCATAATATAATCAACTTGGATAATAAGAGAGAGAAATAATTATATATGTTCTCCAATTTCATTATTCACTCTTCAGAGTAAGATTCCATTCTTTAGAATAAGATTTACTCTATAAAAATTTAAAAATATATATATTCTGATAAATAATGTATATCATTATTGTGTATTAATTATTTAAAGTATTTATTATACATTTACATTTAACTTTACTAATTTCACATACAGCAGTTTTCAATACTAATCTGATGTAATAGTTCTAGTTTACATTAAGCATTTGATATGAAAACGAACTAGTAAATTATCTCAATTTTGATAGCACATGTAAAGAATAATGATATCAGAAAACACATGATATTCCAAGATTATTTTGACGATATTTTGATTATTGCTGTCAAGAAATGAATAGAAGTAGGAACATCCTGAATATATCTTGTGACATTTTCGAAATATCCTCAAAATATCCTCAGAATATTATGTGCTATTCAGGACTGAGATAGTACAATATATATCTAGATAATTAAATAGCCATATTGTGTATATATATTTACATGCATTGCCGAAATTAAAATAACTTAATAAAACGTTACTTATTGGTACGCGTATTAAGTGCTCAGTGTAAATAAGGGATCAAAAAATGACGTAATTGTTATTATACATAATGTCAACAAATATGATACACGTATACAGCTTCGAGAGATAAATATAGCAACGTTCGCTGATGTTAAGCAGAAAGTTCGATTAGAAAAAAAATGTTCAAATCAACGAATTTAACAAAAATCACAGCTACGCGATCGGACTGATCGCGACTATGCAACTCGACGTAGCTAAAGAAAGTCGGTTTATTGCGTCCCATTATTGACAATTCTTAACCTAAGCGCAAATGTCTCACTAACCATATCGAGCAGTTTGTAACACGACGGAGAACGACGACGAATTTTCTTCTCACGATTCCATCTAAACGGTTCGACGGACCGTAAACCTGACTCCTTATCGTAAAAATGCAACGAGAGGCGAGAGCGGAGAAAAAATATGTAGCAAAATGCGTGCGCTAAGATGCACTCCGTATGTGAATTATCGTGTAATGCCAGCGTGAGCGCCGTGAGCTGAGTTCAGTAGGTTTTTCGCAACTGCACTTTTTGCACTCGAAAATGAAACAGGTATACAATGCATGTTGGAGGGAGAGAGATAAAATAAATGGTTGATATAAAAAGTGCAGAAAGTTCAGCTGCAAAGAATCTGTCAAATCAACGCCAGGGACGGACGATAATCTCAAGTTCTCTCGATTGCAAAAATGGATATAAACCAGGACTCGATTCGAAAAATCGGCCGAAAGTTGCATCGCATGCCGAGCCCTGATTATAAACAGAGAATTTCATCCGAAGAAAGAGAGAAAGTAAAATACGTAAACTAAACATTCTCGCTGTCTCGTTCGCTCACAGCGCGCCGAAGATGAACAAGGAGGAACGATTTTAGAGAGACAAGGACAGCGCGATGGTCGACGGCTCCTGCTAGTCCTGCTACAAAGTCACACGTACACGAGCTTTGCTTGTGTTGCTACTGGTTGCGCCAGGCCGCCGACCGATGGCGCTACCATCGAGTGCTGCAAGTGGGTTGGAAATGTTGGAAATCATCGCATCACTGGTGGAAAGTAGTGGAAAGATCATCGCCATCGCTTCTGCTTCCTCTTCTTCTCGGCTCGCCCTTCGACACCCTCACGCGACGCGACGCGCGTGACATTCCGTTAAGATTCCCTCTCCCTCCGTCCGCCGCTGCTAGCTCCTTCGTTGACGACGCCAGGACGCTGGAATGCGCGAACGCAGTGAACCAGTGGACAGTGTGGACACATGCTCGGGTTTGTGTGCCACCAGTAATATTCATTATTTCGTTCTACCTAATTTATTTGAAGAATCATTTAATCTAACGTGATCTGGCCGTATCGTCCTCCTATTTGATTGCTGGAGGCGGGTGCCATTAATTAAATAAGAAGAAGAAGACAGTGTGGACACGCGTGTAACGAACGGTATTGACGCGCGCGCGAGCGCACGTGCGTGCACACGCATACACTCGTACGACGATGCACCGACGAGTACTATCCGTCTCGCCGTTGGCAGGATGTGCCGATCCGTGACCTCGTCGCCGACGGGTCTCCGGGCTTGACGAGTATAAGCGGGGCTCCGGGACGTCGCGTCGAAAAACTTTGGAGCGAGAAACTCCAGAAGAAGTTCCGGGAAAAACTCCAGCGGACACTCTTTCGTTGTAGTGAACTAGACTCTGTGCGAGCACAACATCTGTCTCGAGTCAGAGTGCAACGAGTATCTTGCGTTGGTTGAGGAAAGTATAAACAAGACGTACAAGGAGCATCGCTTGAACAACATTGAGTCAAGTACGATTTAATACACCGAAGGGGGGCAGGGGAACCCTGGACTGAACGTGTGGCACTAGAGAGAATCTCCAGTGTCTACCAGCGTGAATAAATTCACTATCTGTGAACAGTGAGTGTAAATAATGTGAATTAACTCTTGAGGTAGACGAGAAGTCAATTCTGTATTGATAAATAGAGACAGTAGCATGTTGGTTGTTTCAGTTGATATCTATAGCGTTTTCTCTTGGCTGCACTATCATCTACCAGTGCAACACTCAGATAGTGTAGCGTGTTTCCTTAGCTGGTGATAGGTGAATTTATTCAGTATAACGTGTTTTCATGGCTATAGTGTAGTGCAAATTTTATGCACGAAGTGGGATTTTGCTACACGATCTCAAAAGTATGGTGTAGAGTTAGTGTAACATTTAAAATTTGAAAATGGAAATCAATAGCAGAATAGCATGAAGTAGTGTTATCATGGTGTGTGTACACTAGTGTAGTGTAGCACTGGTGCAGCACTTACACGCAATTGGTGTAGTGTAAAGTTACACTCAGTGTATCTCAAGAGAAAACGCTATAGTCAAAACACTAAACTCTCATGTGATGATTAATTTGATATTTATAGTTGATATTTATAGATATCTTAGCAAATTAAATAGATCAAACAACAATTTATTTTTAGAAGATATTGGCTGTGTCTCCTTGAAATATTTATTAATTTTTCTTTTTGGAATACTTTAATTTTATTGAATACCAATTTAAATGGATATAAAACATATCAGTAGACTTGGTTTTGTAAATAATATTTTGCTGACAATGAGATTGTTATTATACACAGAAATGGCTCTATTTCATAATATTTTTATATTTAAATTAACAAGACTATTTTTCCGTTACAGATTCATTGGAAGAAAATGTGTAATGTCAGAGTGATACAATATAGAGACATAGGTGGCCAATACAGAGCAATCGTTTATAATAGACTATTATGTATCTCGCTTAGTTGATGTATGGAACGTTGTCTTAGACGTTTGTCTAGCACTTTTATTGCATATCCTTAGTCACACTCTGTTGGAAAATATCCGGTGTTCATAAAACTGCTAAATTTAATGAGGCCGAAGGTGCCTCAAAAGAGGGGAAACTTTCTTTTGAGAAGGTACAGCGTTCTACGATTGACTTCAACAAACAATGAACCATTCGGGAAGCGGAAAACGTCAGGCGAAGGTTTTGGAAGAAAATTATTGGGACTGCAGTGTCTGCACTTATAGGAATACAGCGGAAGCATTTAAGTGCCTCATGTGTGACGTCCGCAAAGGAACCTCTACGCGGAAACCCCGCATAAACCCCCAATTGGTAGCTCAACAGGTCAGTCTAATTTCAGTACTTGCAATAATGGAAAACACATATTACTTACTTATAGAGGAACATATCCTTTTTATTTTAATATACAACTGTTTTTAAATTGTTTCTCACATTATTATTTCGATATTAGAGTATAATCAGTACCATACTATATCATAACCAGGTTGCGCAGCAACAATATGTACCACTTCTGAAATCAGGCAAGAAAGAAGGGAGTGGAGGTGGTAGTACGACCAGCGGCGTCAAGGAAAAGGAACGCAAACTGGACAAGCCGAAGCGCAAAAATAGGCATCCGCCGCGTCTGAAAAATATCGACCGTAGCACCGCGCAATCAAACGAGGTAACAGTCAATAATGTTACCGTCACTATCACGGAATACAGGCCCAAGGTGAAAAAAGGCTCGGATCAGTCGAGCAATGCAAGCTCCGAGGGTGGGAGCCAGCATGATTCAAATCAGGACTCGAGAAATCTCGATGTAGGAACCGACGCTTAGTTTAATGCTAATGTTACATATGTGTGTATGAATTATTCTAATTAATATATTGTATGTATATGTCAACCTTTATGGTCAACTGTACATCCTCTAGACAAAAGCGACCATTGTTGACAGTCGCTCTTCTCTCGTTTGATTATGCGTCGCAAGTTGTATGAGAAATCCATCGAGGTCAGGCATTTTATGTCCTCAACCGAGATATTATTGACTGTGAACATGATTCATATATCACTCGAGGAAAGAAGAATAGGAATATATGTACATTGTATATCACTGTTTTACTCTTTGCACAAAATGTTGAATAATTTGCATTGCTTCTTTATGCATTTTGTGCAAAAAGAAATGTACTTAAAAGACCGCTTACATTATAGGCGTCATTTTTTTATTCTGTAATATTTATTAAATTTGTTTAAAATGTCTATCGGCGTAACATATTTCATGCTCGATTAAAAAAAAAAAATACAAGGAAACAAATTGTAAATATCAGTGAAACGGATTTTATGAAATATTGTTGATATAATTATATCTTTTTAATTTTTATTGAATTTACGAAAAACCACTGCCAGAAAGCGCAAATTATAATGCGGTTCGAAATTTGTTAACAAGATTAACTAGTATGACTGGCACTGGTACATATGTACATCTTATTCCATTCTGATTCGTCATTGAATTGAGATGAATTTTCTTGAAATACAAAATACTTAAATAATGAAACGTTATATTTTACTGATCTTCATGATTCGCTAATTTATTCTGCATTTTTATTAAAGCACAGTTAAATTCATCTATTCCTAATTAAGTCGAAAAACGTTTAATCGTATGTACAGATCGAACATAAATTTTCAAATGTGTAATATACATATAAGTATTTCGTGTATTGAATATTCATACAACGCTCTCTGATAAAAAAGGGAAGGTAAAATTTCATTTTTAGCAAATAAACGAATCAAGATTACAGAACAAAATGTAATATTTTGTTTTAACACACAAATGTACACAAAAAGAATCATTAAACTTCATTATTTTCATCATATTTGTGACTGCCCAAAATTTCATAACAGCAAACACTTGTATTTATTAAAAATTAAATCGTAGTTGCAAGGACCACAACAGTTCCTTAAGTAAACGGGTAAAGCGGAAAAGAAAGAATTTCTAACACAGCAACATTGTTAATATTACACTCGATAATTATACACTATCGAGATAATTGTAATACGTTTCTGCATTAAAAATGAAAGTAAATATAAGAATCTATCGGTATCAGAATAATTAAGCAAATTAATTAATAAATAAATCGAGAATTGTATACTCAAGGAACGAACAATATCGCCAAACATGTGGCAATGTTAACTTGTAAAAAATAATCCTCACGATTGCCTCCCCCCTCCAGGACTTGCTTTCTCAGTAGCGTTGATATCTTGAATTCTTAATCAAATGAGTCGTTACATAAAATCGTGTAGCTTTTACAGATTTTTTAATAGACAACTATTAATTAACCAGATAATTAAATCACCACTTTTACTGAAACAGTCTCACGCAAATGATATTTTTACTACCTTGTGAAACCGCATAAATTATACAAATCCTTTCATACATATTTTTTGTCTTACATGTGTAACCTGCTTATTTTTACGTGGCACAATCTCTATCTGTATTTTAATAAAATACGAAAATTCCGAATGGAGAGCGCGTTTTCGAGTCTGTACTAAATTTTGGAATTTTTTAAAATTCACGTTTCTAATTGCAATATGTAATCTCTTATTCACTCGAGAGATTAATTAAATACTGTTACCTATTATTTTATAGAGCATGGTACTGCGAATCAGGGGAGCCTAGAGCTCTAGATTTTTTTTTGTAAATCTAGAGCTCTAGGGAAGTCCGCTTAATTAAAAGCACTTTTTTTAATAAAACGATATCTCCAAAATTTACAGTGATTGTTCATATTATGAAATTCGGCAAAAATATTTTAATAAAATACTGTACTGTTGTTTTCAATAAAAAAAATTACATGATGTATAATTCTTGAAAAATAATTTAAAATTAAATTGTTAACGGGGAAACAATAAATCATGTTTTGAGAAACAAAAACGAAAGGAGTTTTAATAATCAGCCTACCAAATATAAACACATTTATTCTTTTATCGAACAGTTTTTATGTTAATACTATAAATTAATTTAAAATTAATAAATTAATTTGTCTGTAATCGATTTTTTTAAATATGAATCTACACACGATTAACTTGTGTTGGCTAGCGTCGGCTTTTGACATTTAATCATTGGAGCCTTGGCTCAGGATCAAGATTTATAAATTAATTGTCTTAAAAGAAACGCATAAATAAAAGTCGTTTATTTATATTTCTATACAATTTTGTTTGTTTAAATGTTTTAAAATATAATTAAAATTTTAATTATTATATTTTTTGATACTAGTAATATATATCCTTCATTTTTCTTTTTTTTCTTTTGACGATTCCTGATTTTCAATTTCCATATTTTCCATATCTTCGATGACGTCCATCGTCTCTTCTTGCCGAGATTCCATCAAATTTTTTGATGCGACGCGTTTTACAAATCTCTCTCGCACTATTTTAATCAGAATAAAATAAAATGAACACAATGGCATTTAATCTGTATTAAAAATTACTTATACGTACCTGTAGGTATCTCCTTAAGATCCAGCACTTTAAAATTGTGCTCTTTATTATCTCCGCCAATAGTAAATACAAATCCATTATCTGGGTTTGCCGCGAGGCACTGTATAGCGCCCAAATTACTTGACTGTTCCTGTATAAGAGTAGGAGATTCTTGGTCTATATCCCATATTTTGATCATACCATCGTATGAACAAGAGACTAACAAACCTCGGCATGATGTACTAAGAGAAAGACCTGGAACAAAAGATCAAATTTATAAGCTATAATATAAAACAAATAAGAGATTTATTTACCCGTAATTTCCTTTTCATGGGCCTTAAGTTGCCATAATGGTTTGTGTTTTCTTATATCAAAGTATTCTATATAACCATTATCTGTGCTAATCTGCAAAGGAATTCGATTACAAATATAACGAAAGAAAATAAATTTCAGATGCACATAAAACGTACAATACAATAATTTTGGTCATAATAATTCCATAAGACTCTTTCCACTTCTCCCAATGCCTCCCATTGTATAACAGGTACTTCATTCATGCAATCGTACAATTTTACTAGTCTGAAAAAATGTTACAGTAAATATCTATGTAATACGAATGTTCATTTTATAATAGAATAATTTATATACCCATCGGCACATCCTATCAATAGTTGATGGGTTTCTTGTGGATGCCATTTTAGCGTTTGCACTTTTTCATTGAACGGACCTAGTTTATTCACAGGTTTACCATTATCCAAGTCCCATAATAAGACTGTCCGATCGACCGAACCGCTAGCAAGAACATGTCTGTAAAAATGTTCCTAGTAATTACAAATTTAGCTATTACATTGATTATCTATTTTATAAAAATGAAAACTAACGTATAATTATGATTCCACGATATGTCTAGAACTGCATCTTTGTGGCCAATACGTTTTTGTTTCTTCATCTCATTTGGTTTACGACCTAATTTGTAGGCTGGTTCTAAACAGTCTATCAAGTCTAAGTCCCATACTTCAATTATAGGAGTCATGTTACCAATAGCACATAGATTGCCTAAAAGCATAAGTATAAATCTTTAATTACATAAATTATATAAATAATAAACTTTATATATCCTATAAGAATTTCTAATGCAGTTGAAGTACAATACTGTTACATTACTCACTTGGTTTTGAAGTGGTAGGATCATAGTTAAGCCATTCTATACACAATGGAAATGAAGGTAGCAATATATCATGATGACAATAAAACGATCCTTCCCTTTCGTTATATACTACAATTATATACATAAGATTGTCAGAAATCAAATATATATATATAAATTATTGATTCATACAATAATTATGTAAAGTTACATATTTAGCACCAAGTTGTTTTAAATATTTAATCAATGCTACACAAACCAAATACTTCCAAGATGCTAGCATCTCCCTCAACATGCCCAAATAATACTAAATTATCATCAATTTTGATAATGTCATCCTCCTTATCTGAATCCTCTTCATCGTTTGTTATGAGAGGATCTTTGCCACTTGTATCAAAAGTAGCCAAATTACTAATATAACAATACATATTGCCAGCTAAAACAAAAATAAAAAATTACAAATATATTTTTATTGTAATCCCATTACTTAGCAATTTTTCTCTTACATTCATTATCATAAGCTTTAAAGTTATATTCATCAGTAACAGCTGATTCTTCTTTCTTTTTTGTATTAGATTGTATTTTGGATCCTTCTTCGTCAGAATCATCATCATTACTATCATTGCTATAAAAAAATCATATAATTAATTTATAATATTTATTGCATTTCCTATTCTTGTGAGAAAATAGATGCATAATGAAAAATTGCTCTCTAAAGTCTCTAATAATAAAAATTATCAAAATATTTTTTTAAGTAAGAAGTGATTTGAAGTTAATTATGAATGCAAGATTCACAGAATATTCCTTATAGAAGATAGAATAGAATTAAAGATATTACAAAACAGGTGAGATAATATTAATTCTAATAAAGAAATTTGCACTGTTTTAACAAAAATAATTTGGATTATTTTAATACAAACTTCAGAGCAGCTTGCGTCTCCTTTATAATCTTCTCAAGCTCATCAGGTCTTAATTCAATCTAAAAATCACAAAAAATGAGGTTTTTTTACAAATGACATAACCTGTATATAACATTAAAATACTAACTTTTTCCGGAACAGCTGCAGCGACGCCTTTTTTCACCCATGTAGTACAAGGTATAACATTTGTTTCCATTTTTATCAGAGGTTTGTTAAATTCCCGATATTGTTCAATAGTAAAACAAAACAGAGTTGCACATGGTTTATCTTTATACAATGATTGCGTTCAGCAGACACATGGGAGAAACAGTTTACTCGCACTCCTCGCACTCATTATGCGCAGCACGAGCACGACTAAATTCACGAGCGCTGCGAGTGTAGAGAATCGGAAACTGAACTCGAAACCTAAAATGGGTCCACTTTTATTTTACGGAGTGGAGTCTCCTTATATCTTACTTCCTATAACAGACATTCACGTCAAACCAGGCACTTTTAAAATATTAGGGAGTTTTTGCAATACCGTGTATCCAGATATAGTAAACGCTAAATTCACATTATTTAGTGAAAAGTCAAATTGCATTTGATAAATAACAAGGATAAAATGATTTCACGAGCATTGTGAGCGAATGAAACGCAGCCTATATTTTCTATTTTTTTTTCAAAATAGAGTTGTTTGAGATATATATAATTATACTTTTTTATTTATAAAATTATACAATAATCATTACAATTTGTTGAACATAAAATATAGTCTGATGTAGGTAACAATTATATTTCTTTGAAAGAGAGAGAGATATCAAATGTACAATATTATATTTTAGTATAAAAACTTATTATATCAAACATATAAAAATAAACCAATTCTTTTAACCGAACTGCTTGCTTCGTTCTTTCTTCGTTTTTTTTCAATGTAAAGAAACAAAAAGAAAAGATGAGCTGCAAGAAATTCAGTTGAAAAGAACAATATATTAATTATAAGTTTATGTACAATATATATTATATACAATATATTATATACAATATATATATATTATATACATATGTCATTATTTGGAATTTAAAATGCTTTGGTTTTGTCTTGCACTTACTAAACTTGGGATGCTTTCCAGCAAAAGAATGTAGATGAACATTGTTCTAATGAATACTATTTTGAAAATAATAGAAATTTTTCTATTTTATAGCTAAATATATTTTCTCTGTACATGCTTAGAAAACATCCTTAAACATAATATCGTTAAATATTGGTTAACATTTTTGACGATTCTTCTTGGCAAGTACAGCCACTCCAGTCTTTGATTGATTTATTCTGTTTAGCTCTTTACTGATGTAATCACCGATTCCAACTATTTCATCTAAGTCTATGCCAGTTTCCAGTCCTTGGCCTTGCAAAAAATATAGTAGATCTTCTGTGGCAACATTTCCTGAAGCACCAGCAGCATATGGACATCCACCAAGTCCAGCGACTGAAGAATCAAAGACTTTTATGTCATTTTCAAGACCCACGTGTATATTCATCAAGGCTTGGCCATAAGTATCATGACAGTGCAATGCATAGCAACTCATGTCGTTTGATGAAATGTGGAACAGTTCATTTAAAACACGTTTGATCTTCCTTGGAGATCCTACACCTATGGTGTCGCCCAAAGAAATTTCATAGCATCCAAGATCTAACATTATCGAAGCTAAATGTGCCGTGGTAGCTGGTTTGGTTTCGCCTTCGTAGGGACAACCAACAATGCATGATATGTAACCTCGAGTTCTGATGTCATGCTTTTTTGCTTCCTCCACGACTATTCTGAAATTCCTTACACTCTCCTCAATAGAGCAATTGATGTTCATTTTACAAAAGGTTTCTGATGCTGCACCAAACACAGCGATTTCTTTCACACCAGCTGCTATAGCGCTCTGTAAGCCTTTCAGATTCGGTACCAGTACTGGATAAGATACCCCGTTTCGTTTTTTAATGTGCTGAAAGACCTGGTGATTGTCTGCCATCTGAGGAACCCATTTTGGAGACACAAAGCTTGTCACTTCGATGCTCCTTAATCCGGTCGCCGAGAGCTTGTCGATGAAATTGACTTTGACTTCAGTAGGCAAAATTTTTTTCTCGTTTTGTAGTCCATCTCGTGGTCCAACCTCGACTATTTTGACGAAATCGCTGAATTGTCTTATTGCATAATTCCAGACGCAATTGCGAACGCTCGATGGCAATATATATGTCGCTTGTCTCGAAAATAATTCTATCATCGTGCATAAAATGTGAAGAAATTGCGTGGTAATTAAAAATATATTGCACTATTTACAAATTTATATACGCATATACTACACGTATTGCGTATTACAAAATACAGCTGCTCAAATCTGAATGAAGTTTGTTTTTCTAGTGATTTCTTCGATTTCTCTCTTTCTCTCCAATAGCAGAAAAAATCCGAAAAACCTAAGAATCACTCTGGAACTTTTTTTCGTGAAAACCCATGGAACGTTATACATCGAATTAACGTCTATGTATTATATTCATATTATATTATATTACATTTATATTTATATTCATTTTTAACATTTATTTGAACACGAAACTGTGGATAAAATAACGTTGAAAATGGATTTAGTTTGTCCGTTGTACTGAGCCAATCCTAGAAGTCGATTTATGAAAATGAGCAAAATCCACTAGATATACTTTATCAATAAAAATATATATATTCTAGTGAATTTGCTCACTTTTGTAATTTTTTATTTTAAAATACAAATTCGATCCCTTGACAACTCTTATGTCTGGTTTATGCTTCGGTCTTAACCCTAAAATCCTAAAATGCAGCCAATAGAATACAAATTTCGATTAGAACTGGCAGCTTTATTGGTTGAATTTTAGGATCTTAGGATTATTGGCTTCGGAAACGCTTATCGCGCAGTAAAATGTGCGCGGTAGCCAAAGCCCGTGTCACACTTATGGATTGTGGACGCGATCTGATTGAGATTGCGGAATTGCGGATCGCACATCGGAATTCAGCCAATCAACACAAAACAGCTTTATCTTGATTGGCTGAATTCCGATGCGCGATCCACAATCTCAATCCGATCATTATACTAATATGAATATTTTACAATTATTCAGATAATTTAACGCTCTCACAAATTATTCGTATGCGCTCTTCATCTTATGCCTCTTTGATGAATATTAGAGAATTCACTACACATTTTTCAACCAGTATAAAAAATAATTATCTTATTCTATCATCCATTTATCTATGCTTATCATAATAAAGATAATACATTTGATAACTTAGCTTTATTCAACTGAAGTATTTATTGCTTTACTGTTTTTGAAATTTAACAAAAACGAAAAAGAATTAAACTTTAGTACACCACGACGCATCAACAAAAAGTTCTACAATTTCGAGAATATTGTAATATAATATTTACTTGATAATTTATGTAGATTAATAGTTCATTAATAATTTAGTGAAATCGTTTCAAGATTGTATGTGTTGTTCTTTTTTTTGTAAAACAATCTTCACTTTTTTGTCTTTTCATTAAGTGTTAATTTATATAAAAACACCTGTTTGCAGTCTCCTCAATTTCTCTACAAAAAATTTAATATCAAAATACTTAAATTTTAAATTATATTTAAGTAATTATAGAAAAAAATGGGTAATTATTTATATAGAAAAAAAATAGGTAACTATTATATACATATAGGACGTAATATTTAATATTATTTTTCTATGTAATAAAACTGTTATAAATAATATTTTTAGGTAATTATTCTAGTCAACAAGCAGAATCTGTAAACAGTGAACAAGCAGAAATATCTAACCGAAACGTATCTACAGTCCCAACTGTGACAGTACCACCTACCATCTTTGCTACAAAAGACGAGTTTGTTAGAACGTGGTTTTCATGGAAGAATGATTTCTTTGCTTATTTGAAGAATATTGACAAAGCTGAAGACAAAAAACAAATATGGGGTTTCATGCTTTTAAATCGTATGGGTCCCATTGGTCAAGAGATCTATAGAACATTTTCTTTCTATGAAGATAAAAATCCAGAGAATATAGATGTATTAATTAAGAAATTTGATCTCTATTGCCTGTATGGAGATAAAAAAAGAGGCACTAAAGATATTGATGAATACATACATGAATTGAAGGTACGTTCATAAAAATACTTATATTAATATATATATATATATATTTTTTTTTTTAACTATACACTTACTCTCTAACATTTTTAGAGTGAATCTTATCTCTTAATTACTCTCTGTCAAGACTAGATCAATTTTCACTCTTTACAGTGAGATTACACTCCAAAGAATTTAGAGGGTATATATAGTACATGCAATGTACATGTATATGTATTATACATATTATATATTATATATATATATATATATATGTGTATAAAATTTTGTAGTTATTTGTGAATTTATTTTTTTTAGTTCTTTGCTGTAGCACAGGATTATATTGATCCTATAATGATCGTGAAAGAGAAAATTATACAAGAAATGAGTACCCAGCGGTTCACAGGAAAAGCTGCGCTTCTCATAGAAAGTAAAGGAGAAAAATTGATATCGTATTTACAATCAATGGATTTATACCATATCACTCTATTTTGGAAACAATGTGAAGATTTAATGGCACAAAAAATTAACGAAACACCAAAGCAGAATTCTACCTATGTCAAGTTTGCTACAACAGAGTCTACTCATAGTGGTATAAAACAAAATCAAAATCAATATACTGCTTGGAGATATCGATCTCAATTATGTTTACCCAAATTATGTTGTACTTATTGCAATAAGTATAAACAGTTCAATCATTACACGGATAATTATGAAGATAAGTACATATATGACTGTACTAAATGCGGAATGAGTCACATTCAATCACATTGCCCAGCATATGGCGAACTGTGTATGAAATGTGGCAAGATGAATCATTTTTCGATGAAGTGTCGGGTTCCTTTTGTGACAGACTGCTCCAAATGTGGTATGAACCATGCCAAATTAATGTGTCCAGCACAAGGTCGAATATGTCGTCATTGTAATAAACTGAATCATTTGGAAGTAAAATGTCCCGATCGGCCAAGTGTGTTTGAACAAATACAAAGTATCTGTTGACAACAGCAGTTATAAATTTGATGCAAAATCTGTTATTTCTAATATATGGCTGGCAATAAAACTTCACTAAAGATATAACAGGATTTAGTTATATGTTTGACAACAAATTAGCGGTAGAAATGGGAATGCGTGATTTTGAAACAAATTGCGCGATTTTATATACCATATATATATATACTTTTAAATATCTGTCAAAGTTCCTCAGTTGCAGCGGCCATACTGAATTGTGACGTCATAAGCGAGAAATAAATCTGTTCTTTTTAGTTAAAGTTCTTGCACGGTTTATTTTTCTTCCTTTTCTCTCCACGTTGAAGAGAAAAAAAAATGAATCGTGCAAGACGTTCAGCTAAAAAGAATAGGCCTAATAACGACACGTTAATTTTTATAGTTACATGCTATTTGTAAATAAAAACAATTTGAATAAAACAAAATGATGAAATCACTTTAAAACACTTATAAAAATAAATCAAAGCTATCCTTCCCCTCTGAGTACAATAATCAAAACTCTATAGTTTAAATGATGTCAACTACAGAATTTTAATTTTGTTATTCAGCGATCTCAACAATTAAATGAGCGCTCGCTGCTATTGGTGTATTTTTCTAGATTCACGACCATTCGCGATCGGCTAATTTATTTTAATCGCATATCTGTCATTAAGCGAAATGACAAATGTAATTAATCAATTCCAATGTAAGGAAGCGTTTCTATTGACCATAATCGTATGTTGTATGTCGTAATCTGTAAGGGCCTTCTACAATAAGCCATATAAGTCATAAATCGGAAGTAAGAAACTAAAAATTGACGACTGTGATTGGTCCATTTCTAGCTTACGACTTATGATTTGTGACTTACGGCTATTGTAGAAGGCCCATAAGAATTGACTAATCACAGTTGAATATTCCTTCCCTACAGTGGAATGAGACGGGAATACTCAATTGTGATTGGTCAATTCTTAGGCCGGAATCAGACTATACGTATTAAAAAATTGAGATTAAAAATTAAAAGATTGAAATTTGATCAATCAAAATAAGGCCAGAATCAGACTACGCATTGAAGATTGAGATTAAAGATTGAAAGATTGAAATTTGGCCAATCAAAATAATATGAGCTAAAATTTCTTTATCCTCATTGGTCAAATTTCAATTTTCAATCTCAATTTTCAGTGCGTAGTCTGATTCCGGTCTAAAAGTTCAGCCTTGAGGTGTTACGAACCAATAATTTAAGGCAGTTTTGAAATAAGAATCGACTATGAATATCGGCCTTACATCTACCTTTTCATGACTTGGACCACGCAACCCGTTCAATTGTTTCCCACGTTCGTGGGCGGTATCCGCGCTGAGTCGAGAGCGGTACCACGCGCGGCGCCTTCGCCAATTCGCCAGCCGGGCATGCGGAGGAGCGCGAAAGCGGAGCGGCGAAAGCGCGCGCGGCGCCGCGAGATTTCGCCCCCGTTTCCGTCGTTTTCATTTTCGTCTTCTCGTGCCTCCTGGGCAAGTTCTCGTTCGTCACTATCGTCAGCTGTTCGACGCTGCAGCGACGGAATAGAGTCGATCCTGGAATCGAGACGACTCCGCCAGACTTCGCCGATCAACGTGACGCGTGCGACGCTCTGAAATTCGGCGCGTCGACTGCTGAGTGACATCCGTCGATAGGCATTCTCGCGTGTTCACGCACGCATGCACAATTTTGGGCATTTCAAGTATACGCACGCACGCACGAACGCACGTTTGTCTGCCTGCACTCGTAGTGCTTCGAAGATTGTTCGTCCGTACGGTCGGTCGGTGCTTCCGCTCGCGGTCGAGAATGACATATCGCAACTCGCGGGTGACGCGCGACGACAACGCACGCACCAGGAGGAGCGTCGTCGAGCAGCGTGATCGTGACGGTTGAGGAAGAAGAGAACTCGGAGCACAGGCCCATCCTCGTCGCACGGATCGTCCAGCCAAGGCTCCGCTCGGATAATGGCAATCTCGAGCTGGATGATGTGGGGTAGAAGCCTCCGCCGATCTCGTCGAAGTGCGTCCACGACTGTTACAATTAAATCGCGCGATACGTAGTGCCTGGCAATTCACGCCTCCTCTTTTGTTTTTCTTTCTGATTGCAGGCCGCCAAGACGAGGACAGCTACGTCCAACTCGATCTGTCAAGAGGTTAGTAACCTAACCTGCCTATCTGCGATCGCGGATCATCTCCTTTTCCCTCCTCCCTCGAAAATTCCGTCGATTCTAACCATCTGAGACCTTTCGCACTTCCGTATTTGTTTACCTTTCGCCTGCGCAATGTTGCGCAACCCGTGTTGCTGCGTCTTATCCTTCC